CAGGGCCTCTGGGTGGATAGGTGGTGTGGCATGGTGCTGGTCCAGATGGAGAGGGCATCCCAAGGAGTCAGTCTTCACTACCCCTTTTTATGGGGCAGACTACCTCTGATCTCCTATGGGGAGGGCCTGTCCAGGCAGTGTCAGTCCTGTTCCAGAGGGCTCCAGATATTCTTACTGAGCATGTGCAGCCTGGTACAATGGTGGGTTGCCTCATCTTTTGTTTCTTAAATGCTGATGGGTGGTTCCAAGGTCTGGGTCGTTGGTGCAAGTATTGGTGTTGATGGTTCTGTCCTTCAGAGGGAGCTATTTTTAGACCTATTGCCATTGTCTCTCAAGCACCCTCATTCATTCCCATTCATTCAGGAACCAAGTTACATAGGAGGGGTAGGTATGAGTCATAGGTTACACAACAGGTCATGGGGACAAGATAGAGACTTGACAAGCAAAATGGAAACTTGACATGACTTATGCTAACTTACATATGTAGGCCTAAATCATATAGTATCAGTAAAACAGTAATATAGAACAGTAAGAATCAATATAAACATAATAATTATACAATATAAAGAAGGAGAAAAAACAAAACAAATACAACTTGCTACCAAAATAAAATTCTGAAGCTTATCCTATGTCTTAGCTCACTTATACTTATCTATAGGGAATAGAGAGGGAGAGAAAAAGTCAGAAATGGTTGGAGAAGTGGGGGGATGCATTTTAAAAGAAAAAAAAAGAAAAACGGGGTTTTGCTACATTCAAAACGTTTCAAAAATGTCTAAACATTTCAACTTGCCTCCTTTCGTTTTGAGGCTGTTTTGAAGCTCTCTGTTTCATTTCGATTTCGCTGTTTCAAGCTCGAAACAAGTTGAAACAGCATCGAAACAAAACTGCCAGTGAAATTTCACAGAGCCCTACTATCAAATCCCCTTTCAGTCTTCTCTTCTGCAAACTAAATAAGCCCAGTTCCCTCAGCCTCTCCTCACAAGTCATGTGCCCCAGCCCCTGAACCATTTTTGTTGTCCTCCACTGGACTCTCTCCAACTTGTCCACATCTTTTCGGTAGTGGGGGGCCCAAAACTGGACACAGTACTCTAGATGTTGGAGTCCCCTGTGGTTCAGTGGTAGAATCTTTGTCTACCACATAGGAGACCTGGGTTCACTCCCTAGACACTTGTACAACTACAGCCATGGAGGCACCAAACATCTGGATTCAGTCTGGTCTTTAGATTCTATCTCAGTGGCCTAAAGGGAGGATGTAAGATCTGGGCATCCTCCACTCCTCCAAAAATTCCTGCCCAGGCATATGCATCAAAGGTCTGGGTGGCGCTTATGCATACACCATGATCCAGGAGGATCGGCGGTTGCCACTCCAGAGGTGGCCTCACCAATGCGGAATAGAGGGGAATAATGACTTCCCTTGATCTGCTGGCAATGTTCCTACTAATGTAGCTCAGTGTGCTGTTAGCCTTCTTGGCAACAAGGACACACTGTTGCCTCATATCCAGCTTATTGTCCACTGTGAGTTCCAAGTCCTTTTCTGCAGAGCTGCTGCTTAGCCAGTTGGTCCCAAGCCTGTAGCGGTGCATGGGATTCTTCGGTCCTATGTGCAGGCCTTTGCACTTGTCCTTATTGAATTTCGTGAGATTTATTTTAGCCCAATCCTCCAATTTGTCTAGGTCACTCTGAATCCTAGCCCTACCCTCCAACATATCTAGTTCTCCCCCCCTGCCCCATCTTGGTGTCATCCATGAAGTTGCTGACAGCACACTCCACCCCATCTTCCAGACTGTTAATGAAGATCTTGAATAAAACTGACCCCTGGGGCACTCCACTTGATACAAGCTGCCAACTAGACCTCGAACCATTGATCACTACCTGTTGAGCTCAACAATCTAGCCAGCTTTCTATCTACCTTACAGTCTATTCATCTGACCCATACTTCCTTAGCTTGCTTGCAAGAATGCCGTGGGAGATGTTATCCAAAGCCTTGCTGAAGTCAAGGTATATCACATCCACTGATTTCCCCACATCTACAGTCATCTCATAATAGAAGGCAATCAGGTTGATTAAGCATGAGTTGCCCTTGGTGAATCCATGCTGACTGGTTCTAATCACCTTCTTCTCTTCTAAGTGCTTAGAAATGGATTCCTTGAGGACCTGCTCCATGATTTTTGCAGTGAAGCTGACTGGTCTGTAGTTCCCTCAATCCTCCTTCTTCCCTTTCTTAAGGATATGCACTATATTTCTAGGGGTGCACTGATAGAGATTTTTTGGGCCAATACCAATAGCTGATTTTTAACAAGCCATATTGGCCAATACCGATATGATTGCAGATATGCATCCCAGCAGCTTGAAGAGCAGTATCTGGCTGGTAAGTCTGTTGTGGTGGAAGGGGTGGGGATAGGGAAGGGGCGTGAGGGGTGCAGATCGAGGCCCCTGCAGTGAGGGAGGGAGTGGGGCTGGGGCAGGGGCATGGGTAGGCACTGCCCAGCCAGGGCAGGGCAGGGCTCGGGATGCCTGGCCAAGCTCTTCCCAGTGTGGGGCTGAGGCAGGCAGTGGCAGCAGTGGGGGTGGGGCTACAGAGGGTGGCTTTAGTCCCCCCCAAATTTGCCATAGCCTCCCCATAACCCTCCTTCCAGAACCACCACTGCTGCCCACCCCTAGC